TTTAAATAAATGTGATATTATAATGAGATTTGGTTAAATAAATGAACTAGGACTATCAAAATATATTATAAAATTAATTTTTATATTATATTGATGATAAACTTATTTGATACGTTATGGACTTCATGGTATTTTTGTCACATAAGATAGCGGCACAGCAGGCGGGAACTTTAAGGCGCACGAATATCACCAAAATTAAGCAGCATTGAGCGTGGTTAGTAGTTGGATGGGTGACTGCTGGTTATAGCCGTACAATTATATGCAATCATTTTTTCTTATTGTCATTCATTATAGAGATTTTTGTATGACTATAAAGTACTATATCCATAAAATTGAGCAAAATAATTAATTAAAAGTAATAATAGGCTTTTTTTGCCCTCTGGGCGGAAAGTGGCAACTTTGGTCCCACTGCGCTAAACAAAGTTGCCGCTTTCCGCCTTCCTCGGACAAAAAAATATTATACAGCTCTTGGGAAGTAAAAAAGAAAACCTCAGATCACATGTTTGTTGACCTCGGCTTCGCCTCGGCCAACAATTACATGTGATCTGAGGCTTTTCTTATTTTCCTTCCCAAGGGGTGTAATATACTGTTAGACCTGACTATGTCTGATCAGGCCTGATCAGGTCAATTCATGCATGGTAATTTTTCATTTCTGATCAGGCCTGAAGACTCATGTCTGTTCATGTCTGATCAGGTCTGATTATTTTTTCCCAACAAAGGACTGTTTTTTTTTTATAAAATTGAGAAAAATCAAGCAAACTATTTCAATGCATTCAACTTTTCAAGTTCTCAATCAATGTTTACATCAATTAGAATAATATTAAGATTTATGAATCCAATTTAATAAATAAAAATAGTTGCCAGGGGACTGAGTTTTTTGTGGCCCAGACACATATTTCCAGCACAAACGGTATTTTGACACTTAATAAAATGCCGATAAAGCGCTAACAGCCCTATGGTTATTAACTCAAGGCTAGTTAGGTCCTTATAAACCTTACAAAAGGTAAAATTACACGCTGGATTTTTTTTGGCTTTGAACTTCTGGCAGGGGACTGTTCTTAAAATCTCTGGGACAAACTTTAATTTAATAAATTTAATGAAACAAGTTAAATTTCTGAACTTTTTATTTAAGAAGATTGTTAGTTAACTAATTAAGTTTATAAACATTATGGAGCAAATTATATATTATGGACGAATAGCTTAAAATTTAATCTTAAAGTTTTAATTTTGGGGATGGGACAGCCCAGGGGCCTGTTATTTAAGTGGTTTACGAATTTATAGTAAAAAAACCAAAATTTATTTAATTTTAGTTTTCAATGCTCCAAGTAGAAAATTTTTTTTTACTTTCATAATGAATTTTTTTTAGTAACAAAATAACAATTTTTCTAATAAAAAATGCCTGGGATAGCAAAAAATATCGTTACAGAGAATCACCCATACATGAATGTATGCATATATATTATTCAAGTATTATCATATAATCTTCTCGCAAAAGTTCAGTAAGCAATGAAAATTTGCAAATTTTTAGATAATGTTTAACGAGCAATATTTGAAACAAAAATTGTTTGAAAAGACTTTTTTAAAAATTGATTTTGTATCTCTGAGATCATACTTCTTCGGATTACTTAAAAACATTTTTTGAATTTTTAATTCACGCTATTTATTTTGATTGATTTAAGACCGTTGTTCCAAAAACTTTCTGTAAAAATTTTGAAATTTTATTTGTTCACTGAAATCTAGCGAGAAGTGTGTTATCCTAAAAAAAAAAAAAATAGAAAAACGGTTCATCCTAAAGGCCATCCGTGCAACTTCACGCTAATTCCATTCCTGGGCGCTTAAAATTGTACTTATGACATTTTTTAAATTTTTAAGATCAAAATATAATTTATGTGATATTTTGAGCTCGCTGAGTACAAAGAAATAATATTTCAATGCATTTGAGCTCTCTCAGCTCAAAAGTCTGATAGAAGTTTCATAGAACACTATTTTTGGAATTTTCAAACCGCAATAACTTTTGAATGGATCAACCAATTTTCACGCGGTTGGCGCCATTCAACGCAGTTTTATCATCCTCATAAGTTACTTTCAGGTTTTAATTGATCGAACCGAAAATTTCGGAGTAATCCCGAAAAAACACTTTTTTCGGTTTTCTTTCGTTCACGATGTCTCGAACGAATCAACCGATTTTGACCGGATTAGCGACGATCGGCGTGGTTTTTCAAGCTTAAGGGCGGATTAGTTTTTGAAGTTGATCGATGGAGCCGTTTGGAAGATATTCCAAAAAAACCACTTTAAAAATGATTTATTTTCTTATTTTTTTTGAGATTTTTCAAAATTTTTCAAAATCTATCGGTCCGAATCAGTTCAAATTCTCAGGAAATCTAAGTTTGGCGAAGCCCTGTCGAATGGCACTACCCGCGATAAACATACACACACATATACATACATACATACGTACATACACACACACACACACACACACACACACACACACACACACACACACACGTACGGACATCATCGAAAAAATAGACAGGGAAGCTTTTTAGGGCTTCAAAACGTCGAGATCTGTTGAAACCTCGATTTATGCAAAACGAGGTGAAAATAATAACTTCCTGATTTTTCGAAAATCTTCCATTTTCTTAGGGGGAAGTTAAGAAGTAAACATCGTTTATTAATTTATTTTATTTTCAGAATTTTTAACGGAGCTGAATAAACCACGGACAATAAATAAGGAAAAAAAGAATAAAAATTCTGAAATACAAGAGGCAAAAGAAAGAGAAAAACCAAAATTGAAGAAATGTTTAAAAAGAAAAATAAAGACTTTGAAGACAGAAAGTATAAAATTAAATTTGGTTAAGGAATCTTCTGGGAAAGGAATGAAATGGAAAATAGTAAAGTAAATGAAAGTAAAACATTAAATAGAAAAATCAATGTTTAATTTGAATTATTTTTATGTATAACTTTAAGCATCTCTGTATAAAAATCATGAAAAAAAATATAATTTTATTCGTGAAAAATTTAAATTTATTAAAAAAAAAATTATAATAATTATCAGAACCTAGTGTAAGTATACCAAGTGTTTTCCAGGAAAAATTCCTGTAGAAAGTACCTGGGGAACATTTGAAGCTAAGTTACACTTTATAAATAATTATCAATATCTAGTGTGGATATTTCAAGTGTTTTCCCGGAAAAACTCCGGTAGTAAACTCCTAGCCAAAGCATATAAATTCGATTGGATGCCAAAATTTATTATTATTATCATTATTATTATTATTATTATAATGTTTCTAATGGTCTATTGTTACAAATTATTAGCCATTTAATTTAAATTATTATTTAATTTCGCAAATTCCAGCCGTACATCGCCATCTATTGATTTTTTTATTAGTTATCCGCCGATTAGTACTTTTTTGTCAATAGGTGGCGTTACTATCTTCTTCTGTTTCAGCGCCATATTGTTGGGGGCAAATGCAACAGGGGGCAAATGACATACAGTCCATAAAACAGGCTTGTGACCATGTTACACAAATTTAATGGGCAGACGAGAGGAATGACAGATATTCAATGGTTCGATTCCATTTGGTTCCGAACAGCAATTAGTCGATTTATAAAAGTCCTTACCTTTGAAATATACGAAACGTAAATATTTCGAATGTCGTTTGTCTCACATGCTATTTTTTCATATATCCTCTAGACCCGTACGATAAATGTTTAGTTATAAAAACGCGCCGTTTGATTACAATAACGAATAATAAATGACTCGAACATGACATTTTCCAACAATCTCAAAATCCGCATGCAAATTGCCCCGATGTTTTTTTAGTACATTTAGCCACCGTCGGTAATTTAAGAATTTTAGAGAAATTAAGTTATCATAAAATCTAACGGCGAATACATTTATTTAAATATGAGGCAAATGCTATCAGAGTTAAAATGAACGGATTAATACATTGAATTTAATATTTTAATAGAACATATTAAAAAATTTTTTTTATGTAGCTGAGCTGTCGAAATTAAGGAATATTAATGATATATACATATAAATAGATATGCAAATAGACTATATTTAATTCTCGGTGAGTTACATTTTTAAAAATTTTTTTATAGAATATTATTTTTATGATAAAAAATTATTTACTAAATAAACAACTAAACTAGTAAGCACTGCAAGAAAATCGTAATGTTGCAAAATTTTCTTATTTATTTTACTGATAATAATTATACAGAAAATTATACCAATGTTTAATATTATCAATATTATTACTTTAGTTTATTAAATAGAAATCTACTATCTTCAGTCCAAAGTAAACTAATCCCATTCATGCACTTATGGTACGTAGTTAGATTAATGAATCAAGTTATCTGGAACAGAAAACGTGATTTTCATAAAATTACAGAAATATTTCGTAAATCAATTAAACTTTGATTATTTTCAAAATAATTTGTGTCCAATCTTCAAAATTTCAAATGGTATCATTAATTTTTATTTATATAATGACTGTATGTAATTGGTATAGTTAAGAGTCACTTACGATGATTCTTTGGAATGCACGGATTATTTCAGAGCATATTGGGCATAGTAAATCAGATTTCTGATTAATAGCTTGATTTGTAAATTTTTGAGCACATAAGTTACAACCAAACCAGTGCCAACAAGGAAGACTTATCATATCCCCAATATTTTTTTGACACAAGAAACATTTCGAATGTGCTAAGTTGTTAACTATAACAAAGAATGTAGAAATTAATTAAAAAAATTAAACTGATAAATTAATCAACACAAATTATAAAATGAGAATTTTACCGTAAAAAATATTTTCCCCAATTACAGGTTGTTGAATTTTTAAAAACACAATGCCATCATCACCTCCAAAATGTTTATTCCTCTGAGGTATGGTACTGGATTAACAGCTAAAACAATTACTCAATAGTTTATAACAATATTACCTTGTATTCAAAAAGAACAATTATCATGGTATATTTAATTTACATTTACCAATATTATGTGCTTGTATATTTACAAATAAATCAACATGCAAAGATTCAGTGATATAAGTAAATTTTTGAAGACAGCCTAAAAAGTTGTATGCACATGCCAGAAATTTTGGTATATCAAGTAACTTATCCTGATACATCTTCCAGGCCCGATGAAGTATCTCTTTTTTATTAATATACTTGTTTTCCGTTGGCTGTCGAATAGATAAACCCATCATCAACGAACCCCACTCACTTCGAGTAACACTTTGGAGGTTTTTTAAGTATTCTGGAAAAAAAAAATTGCGCAGTCATAAATTTCATATTCTTAACTATTTAAGCGATATTTGCATAACTGCGATTGTTATTAAAACTTTTCATTACCCATAAGCTGCCAAATTGAGGGGTGACTGCCCATTCTTTTCCGTAGAACTCGATGATAAGCTTCTATTTCATTATTCGTTACCTTTTCCGTTAAAAATACACTAAGTTTTATTGGTGTTACGCGCTTTATCCACCAACCTTCAAAATACTTTATGAAGTCAGTGAACTGTTCTTTGACATCATCTACTGTATTTGTCAGTAACCAGTTGAAAGCTAAAACCATGTGTTCCTGAGGCAGAAGAGGAATTCCCATCAATTTTCTATAAAAAATTTTACTTTCTCGCCAGCCTTTTAATCGCTCCATAAATTTCGTTCCTTTTTTTTTTTTCAAGTTTCTCATTGAAGCCTGCGTACAAATTAGTAAGTTATCAAATTATTTAACGAAAAAAAAAAAAACAATTTAAAAAAACTTACATTTAAAAAATGAAAGTAACACCGGATAATCTTAGCATTGGGAAAAATTGCATCTATAGCTGAAGATAATCCCTCTTCAAAATCGACAGAAACAGATGATGGATTGATATGAGGAGCAAACACTTGTGAAAAATGATTTAATACTGCCGTGTATGCTGCAGTCGTCTTTGATGTCATGATAAACCCAAGTAATTGGTAAGGCCTGTAAAATAATATTAAGATCATTAACACCAACTGTAAATTGTCGATCATAATTTTTTTGTATACAATTTTGACGACGAATATAATTTTATCAAACATTTTATGTTTAATAATCTTGCTTGTTGTACAAAAACAATGTTAGGTTTCATGAAGCCAAGAAGGATACGTGTGACAGACATAAATACTTTTTAAAAATATGTATTACTTAACAAAATAATTACCGTATCAGAAACTGTAGCCATTATCGTCAATAGTTGTATATACTTGGAGATATTTCTAGGGCACACTTATGTAAACATAATATTATCACGTAAACATATTTATATTTTTATTTTATATAGGTTAGAAACTTACAATTGTGCATGCGGTCAATTACTGGTGTTTTGAAAAATAGCAGGTTCCAATAGATGACCGAAGTCATTTATTGATGGTACAACGGTGTTTTATTGTGCCAGTATCTGACCGGTCGTTGAATTGGTATTTACTTGATTGTTTTTGTCAAATCTTATTGAGAGATTTGTTAAGAAACTATTAAAGACTACTTCAGAATTTAATTTGGCAAGATTAACCTAATAGAAACTTTTTTGTTAACTAAAACATGTAGTCGCCTCTCGGATACTCTACTATAGTATTTGACCGATTTGAGTCAGATTATGCGGTGAAAAATTTTCATGAATTAATTTCGATGTTCTAAAAATTAAATAAAATCTGGAATACCTATTTATTGTAATGATTATAAGTTCAACAATAGTTAAAAATAAATTTCAGGGTCATAAAAAATGCAGTTAATAATAATTTTCGGACTTTTTTATGAAAGCGGTCAACTACTGGTGCCCGGTCAACTACTGGAACATTTACCCTATGATCATTTTTACTTAAACATATTTTACTTCACACGAAACTATATAGAAGCGACTAGTTTTCAATGAATTCGTCAATTACTAAGCTTTTCAAAACTGTTTTATTTGTTGTATAGTTTTTCATAAATTATACTTCATTATAAATACTTCATTATAAATTATAATGTTTTAATTATAGATTCAACCAACATCACGGTAGTATTCCATGACTACTCAGAACCTCTCTATGACTAATCTGTACTAAAAAAACTTAAGCTTAATAGATCTACTAAAAAATTTCTCCATTTCCGTAATAACTTCACTCCAAATCGGTTCCATTTCGGGATATCGCGACTCATATAGAAATTGAAATCTTTTTTTTGATATTATCATTTGATAGAGATGTTTTGGAATAGAAATGACTAAAATCAAAGTTGTTACGGAGTAGAGAAATTTTTGTGTAGACTAGTTAGGCTTGATTTTTTTGAGTAGAAATAAGGAGTCATCGAGAGGTTTTGAGTATAGATCGAATACTATACCTACATTTTTACTATAAGAAAAAAATATTAGATTAAGAATTTTTCACATAAGTATAGTTATCATAGTTGTAAAAACAAAATATGTCTGACTTATTCTAAGAAGACACAAAATACATATAGTAATAGATATTAATAAGAAACAAAAGTAATACATTAAGTAACTTAAACCTAAATAAAAACTACTCTTCTTTTAGTACAGAATTCGTCCATTTACATTTGATAGAGAAAAAAATATAACTTATAAAAATTCTTTAATTATGATAAAATAATCTTAGATATTCGATCAAGTCGAATAATAGGTAAAAAAGTATAAAGTGATTGATACTGTCAAAAGTACAAAATAAAGATAAATCATTAATAAATTCTTTTAGAACATCAGCGATTAAAACATTATTCTGCATATCAAATTAAATTATGATTTTTTTTTGTCTGAGAATTTTTTCTTCTTACGATTATTTTCGTCATCACTATCATCTGAATTTTGTCTTTCAGATATATGTGATCCTATACTTTCATCTTCATCGGAATCATCAATGAAATTGATCCGATGTCTTTTTCTGTAGCGTTTATTTTTTTTCTTCATTCTCGGACCTTTAAAATAGGTTATTTTACGGCTTATCCAAGATTGAACGTCTTCTTTGCTAGGTTGTGTTTTGTTACTGTTTTTTCCATCTAACTGACAACAAAGCCCTAAAAACATTAAATGTTAATTCATCATTTATATTCTTTGCTTAAATCATCGTTACTAACATGTTAAATCCTAAGATAAAGACTAAATTTTCTAAAATTGCCATCTCATTGTCATTTGAATCAATTTGCTTACAAATGCGATTTGCAATCAAAGTCCATTGAACAATACTGTAAAATAATTAAAAATATAGGCATTCATGAATACCGTGATTTTTAGATTGTTCGTTATCTAACAAGTTGATTAAACAAGAATTTTTAATAACATCACGAATCAGAAAATTAAATTGGATTTCCTAAATCGTATGCTGCTGGATTAATTCATCAATGGGTGTACATCAATTACATATACCCGGGTAAAAAAGATTATATATACTTATACATAATTATATATGAAAAATGGCCCCATATAATCGAAATAATTTTTTTGCCCTCCGGCCGGAAAGTGGCAACTTTCTGGCCACTGCGCTAAACAAAGTTGCCACGTTCCGGCTACGTCGAGCAGAAAAATAGTATACACACCTTGGCCAGTAAAAAGTAAAGCCTCAGATCACATGTTTGTCAACCTCGACTTCGCCTCGGCCAACAATTACATGTGATCTGAGACTTTTCTTATTTTACTGGCCTAAGTATTATATGTAATATACTTCCTAGGTATGTAATATACTAATTCTTGCAACTTTTGTGGACTGCTCTAACGCATGCGCGCTACGCATATTTTCTGGCCCGGCAGCACAGAACTTCGCTTCCTTTCGTATTATCGTGGCGCGACCGCCTACACAGCGAGTTTCAACTGTATATGTAACAGTCACAACATCGTCTGTATGTAACATGTCACCCCAGATTAAAAAAAAAAGTATTGAAAAAGTATTGAATTACACACACTATATTATATCTGTATATACATACAATATAAATATACAGTTGCATAGGTTCAATACTTTTTTTTAATCAGGGACCGCATAATCTAACCAAAAAATGTCAAAGAAATGAAAATAATTTTTAACTAGATCATTGTTAATGAACTATTTAATAATAATGCTCAAATAATTTATATGAACAGTTTAAAAAATTAAATATAATAGTTTTGTGAATTTTATTTGCTTTCTTTTATATTTTGACAGTTAGTAAAGCAATGTTTATAAAACGATCCATGTACTCTACAAACTTCTAATAATTTAAATTCAATCTTTCTTAGCCGTCGACTACTAATTAACCCTAGACTGGTCACTCTATAAGCGTGACGCCGCGCTCAATTATATTTTGATTATTACATCTTCAATATTTACGAAAATTATTCAAAAAAATTTGACTTTGTTCCTTGAACATTTTTCAATATATTAATAATTTTTCCAAACATCTTCAAAAACGTTAAATTGCTGAAAAAAAAATTTCTTAAAAAAGTTTGCGGGGCTTTCCTCATCGCTTGATCAGAGTCGTAAGTAGTTTTTTGTCCGCAGCGTTGCCGAAAACACCTCTAGTCTCTGCCTGTCAAACGTGTATGAACTGACGACACTGTACGCTCTAAAAGCATTGCGGCAAATCCTTTATCACTCGACCAAAGTCGCTAAGTCGCGTTTGTTGACCAGTCTAGGGTTAAAAACTAATTTTTAGTCAACTTAAAAAAATAAATTCTGTTATTAGAACGAGTTTAAATATTTGTGACAAATTCTGTGCATGTTATCATTTTTAATCAGAACGTTTGTTAATAAAGTTTTAAATAGGGGAGAGGGGGGGGGGCAAAATGGGCCCCTTAAGAAAAAAATGTTGATATCCTTAGTGTTTTTCTCTGGTTTTACTTTTTTTTAGTCCCTTGCCAAGTATTTGACCTCAATTTGCTCTGTTCATTAAAAAAAAAAATTGAAAATGTGGGGCAAAATGGGCCACCTTCAGAAAATTTTTATAATATGAGTTGTTCAGCTCGTTTTACTTTTTTTGGCCTTTTACTGAGTTTATGGTATTAATTATGTTGTGTACATCGAAATTAAAAAATTGAGAAAAGTGGGGTAAAATGGGCCCCCCCAAAAAACTCAATATGTTTCTTACTTGTTTTGTACTTTGAATTTTTTTATATATTCAGTATAAAAAATTAGGATCAACGTGGGTTCCCAAGCTTAAAAACCGATCAGTTTTTAGAATCGATAGGTGAAGCCAATAAAAATGTAAAAAAAAAAAACAATTTTTTAGATTTTTTTTGATAACGATATCCCACAAACGAATTAACGGATTTAAAAAAAATTAAAGGCATTCTATGCAGTCTTTCTAGAACAAAAATACTATTTATCGCCAACCAAACAATCGGACATGAAATTTCAAAGATGTATTAAAAAAAAACTTGTTTAAATTTTTTTAAATTAATTATCTCTCGAACCAGTCAACCGATTTTGACGTTATTGGCGGCGATTGAAGTGATTTTTCAAGCTCTAAAAATCATCTCGTTGAATCAAAAACGATCCAGGGATAAATGTCGGAGTTATATAAGAAAAAAACACTTTTTTCCAAATATTTTGTTCAGGATACCTCACAAACGAATCGACCGATTTTGGTCGCGTTGACGGCGATCGACGCAGTTTTTTTGGGCTTAAGGGCTGATTAGTTTTTAAAAACGATTGATTCAGCAGATTATTAAAATTTATTTGAAATAAAAAAACATTTCCTGAAAATTTTATTTTCGAGATTACTTAAAATCTATTGGCCCGAATTACCTTAAATAGTTTAAAATATCTAGGGGCAAAGAAACTCTCGATTGCTGTCTATCCCGTTTGTGAATCGGTCAAGCCGTTTAAAAGTTATGAGAGGTTTACGTTCATGCACGAAACACACACACACACACACA